TTAAGTTTTCAAATTCCTGCAAATAAGAAGAAAATCCTTTGTTCTTCATTAGTACCAAGGCTGAATTGATACTGCTGATTTATGCTCATCTAAAAGCGCAGACTGTTTGGTTTTTTTTGTGTGTGTGTGTTTTATTTTTATTTTATTTTTTTTAGCTCTAGAAAAACAAAATCAACTCCTTTGGAAGGCAGCCAGTCTCCTCAGGCATCTTTCTTTGCAGACTTTACCAACTTCTGAAGAACCTACCAGTTTGGAAGAACTGGTTGAAGGTCTGTCCTCTGTGAAACTGTCATTGCGTTGTGCTTTGTTTACTGTATAATTAAGACTTTTTTTTTTTCCCCATAAGCAAGCTAAAGATGTTTTTCCCACTTCCTGGGCAAATGGCATTTCCACATAATTCTAAACACATGCAGTCACTCACAGTGATGAAAAAGCTCTTATGTCTTGATAATTGTGATAGTGCTGAAGCCCTAGATGACTCTAAATAGGTTTCCTTGCCCGGGCTTTGTCACGAATGAGGGCAGCATGAGGTCTGAGTAACAGGCTAAACAGTCAGATATGAGACCTAGGGGATCCTAGTATAGACATCCTCGTGCTCTAGACTAATGCCTTCTGAGAAGACATTGGTTCGGAGGTTTTCGAGCCCTTGAGGCTGCCTCTCTGAGGAAGGGAAGGGCACCGTGATCCTAGCTGGGGCTCTGACTTTGGGGAAGTTTTGCTTTGGGGCACAGAACAGGAACTATGGAGCTTGGGAAAGACAGCAAGAAGAAGTATTTAGGATTAAAGGATCAGGGGATAAAGAGCACAATTCAAAAGCATCTAAAACAGGAAAAAAGACTAAGGCAATTGAAAGCATCTGTCATAAATCCTGGGTGCAGACTCTGCAGTCAGAGTCAAGGGTGGGTTCTGCCACCAGGGCTGTCGTGGGCAGAGAGCGTGAGAACACGGCTGAATCTGAGTCAAGAGGTGGCAGCTTCAAACCGCACACTGCAGGCCCAGAGGAGTGCACTAGAGTCAGAGAGAAAAATCCGGATCCCCTGGTCACCAGGGAGATGGAAAGAAAAGCTGTCCTATATTTGGGATGGAAAATAAAAGTGAACTAGCCAGGAACAATGTGACCTCCTCACAGAGAATTAAATCTAGACCTTGACCTGACAGTGAAAGTACCACGACCTGCCCTCCATATGTCCAGGTGGCCAGGATCCACCTCCATCACTTGCCCACTAGGCCTGGAAGGAGCATGCTATGAGCCGAACTGTGTCTCCCCCAAATTCCTATGTTGAATTCATAATCCCCAATGCAATGGGGTTTGGAGGTGGGATTTTGGGACCTAATCAGGTAGGGATGAGGTCACGAGGGTGGGGTCCTCATGATGGGATTAGCGCCCTTCAAAGAAGAGACCAGAGAACTTGTTCTGTCTCTGCCATGTGAGGGCATAGCAAGAAGATGGCCACATGCTTACCAGGAAGACAGCCCTCACCAGGAACCCAGTCGGCCAGCACTTTCAGCCTCTGCAACTGTGAGAAATAAATGTCTGCTGCTTAAGCCCCCAGTCTGTGGTGTTTCATTAGAGCAACATGAGCTAAGACAGAACAGGCCTCTGCAGTGGGAGTTGTACTGTCCCTTCAGGTCCAGCCCAAATGCGACCTTCTCTGAGAAACCTCCTCATATTTCTCCCTGGCAGAATCCCTCTCCCCTTCCTACAATCCTCTGTTGGCACTTCAACTCTAACACTTACATGCAACACAGGTCTTCCTTAAAATGCCAACAGTTATGTATTCATCTGCTACCACTTAATTTTCCCCAACTCTGCCTAGTTCATTCCATTCTACCTCCTGAGCCAATCCTAACTGAGGCAGGAAGGCTCTTGGAGTGGTTCCTCCGACCACTCCAAATCAAATGCACTTGATTTGATTTGTTGGTCTCAGACCTGTCCATTGGGCTGAACAAGCTCTGAGCTGAGCTGCCAGCAGAGATTCAGACCAGACAGCTGAATCTCTGGTCTGGCCTTAGAGCTCCTATGGCATGTCAATTGCAGGATGGGTTCCCACGTTACGCACTTCCGGCCCCCTCCCTTCCCTTGGCCCATCAGTGTGCCCTGTTCTCATGACCGATTTTTGTACTTGAGTCTCTGAGACCAGTTCTTCCACACCACCATCTCTCTCCCGTAAGGTTGCCAGATAAAATGTGAGACAACAATCTTTTGGCATAATTATGTCCCATACAACATCTGGGACATTCGTATACTAAAAATTACTTACCGCTTATCTGAAAATTCAAAGTTACCTGGACATCCTATATTTTCACTTACTAAAGTTGGCAACCTTCTCTCTCTAGCACCATGATACTGAGTAACCTGCCTGAGTGCTGTGTACTTCTCTTCCCGTCTCCCACATTGGGGACTGTTCCCGAAACTCAAGGCCCCAATGCAGAGGCCAGCACCCTTCCTTTCACATTGCAACGGCTTTATCTGGTTGGATTCCCAGAGCCATTGATTCTGCCCTCTGGTATGAATCTCTGCTGGCAGCTCAGTTCAGAGCTTATCCAGCCCAATGGACAGGTCTGAGGCCAACTTGTTTCCTTGGCTAAGTCCCTTCTTGCCTCCAGAAGAGAACAGGACTTGCTGACGACTGCCAGGCTTTGACTGGAATGTCCAGCTATTTCCAACCAGATTGTGACCCCAAATGGCAGAGATAATCTCTCAGTTATGCCATCTAGCATGATGTTTTGTACCTCCCTGATGCCTAATAAATGACTGTTGACTTTATTTTTTAATTTTTTATTTTTGAGCCAGACTCTCACTCTGTTGCCCAGGCTGGAGTGCAGTGGCGTGATCTCAGTCCACTGCAACCTCTGCCTCCTGGGTTCAAATGATTCTCCCGTCTCAGCCTCCCAAGTAGCTGGGATTACAGGTGCCTGCCACCACATCTGACTACATTTTTTTTTCTTTGTATTTTCAGTAGAGACAGGGTTTCACCATGTTGGACAGGCTGGTCTGGAACTCCTGACTTCAAGTGATCCACCTGCCTCAGCCTCCTAAAGTGCTAGGATTACAGGTGTGAGCCACTGCACCCAGCCCAAAGTCTCTCTCGATGATTATGCAGTTGCTAGAAGCAGTGGAAGTGTTGGTGGTAGGGAACCATTTAATTGCCTGCTGTATACAGGCAGTGTGCTAACAGCTTTCTATGCATTATATTTAGAGTTGGCAAAGTAGCCTCGGGGACAAATTTGACCTGCAACCTGGGTAAATATGACCATGCTAATTTGTTTACATACTGCCTAAGGCTGCTTTTGCAGTGACAGAGACTATATAACTCACAAAACAGAAAACATTGACAATATGACCCTCTAAAGAAAATGTTTTCTAATCCAAGGGTAGACCATTGAATCCTTCTGCTAATATCTCTAGGAAGGAGGGATTATTCTAATTTCAGAAAAGAGGAAACAGGTTCAGAAAAGTTAAGATGCTTGTTCTAGAGCAAAGGTTCCCCTGCTTCTAAAATTTTACATTTGCATTTTGCCATAAAATTGCCTCTTTTTTCAAAGTTAGGGACATTGTGGGGGGAAATACTATATATATTCCTATTATTTCAAAAAAGAAAAGATATCTTAATATCCGAGTATGATGGAATATAATTACCAACAGCACTTTGGATGAAATAAATTCAATGTTATAAAAATCTCTGAATACTATTCCTGTTTTTTCTTCATTCTGCAGAGGATTGGTGAGAACATAGTCAAGGACCAGTGTGAATTCAAGAATTGGCAGTTGGGAGCCACTTGCTTAGGAATTCTGGCCAGTGAGTGGCAAAACCGGAGGACAGCCAAGCCTCTCTGACGCCAAAGCCTGTGCTGGGACCATTTATCCACCTAGAATTCACGTGCCCATTCTGTCATTCAGTAACTATTCATTGAGCACCTACGATGTGTTGGGTACTATGTTCCTGCCCAGGGCATGACAAATCATTTTCTTCCATTTCTCTCACCACCTCTCTATCCTTTGGCAATCTGGATTGAAACCAAAAACTCAACTCTTAACACAGCTCAGAAAATCATAACTATTGGCCAGGTGCGGTGGCTCACGCCTGTAATCCCAACACTTTGGGAAGCCAAGGTAGGCGGATCACCTAAGGTCAGGAGTTTGAGACCAGCCTGGCCAACATGGTGAAACCCCATCTCTACCAAAAAATAAAAAAAATCAGCCGGGTATGGTGGTACACACCTGTAATCCCAGCTACTTGGGAGAGGCAGGAGAATCGCTTGAACCGGGGAGGCGGAAGTTTCTGTGGAGCCAAGATCATGCATTGCACTCCAGCCTGGGCGATGAAGTGAGACTCCATCACCAAAAAAAAAAACAAAAAAAAAACCATACACTATTTTCTTGTTGCGATAGACTGACCTGTTAGTTGCTCGGGAAAATGATCTAAATGAAAACACCACAACACAATGATATTACAGGTTCTGTCTTTTTTTCTTTCAGTCTAAGTAGTAACACTAGAGGCTCTTAGGAAAAAAAGAAATTTTATCAAGCCACAGCACCTGCCCAACCCAAATCTCTGTTGTGCAAAATAGTTCGCACATTGGCCTCTTCACTTTCAAGCTTCTCCAACAAGGAATCAGGACACAGTCCACGAGTAAAAGCTCCACCTTCCATCGATAACTACCATCATCTCTTTAATATCACGTTGCTAGAAACTGTTCTTCTATTATAGTGAACTATCACCAACAAAGCAGTCAAGCTATTTAAAAATTACAAGCAAAGGCTGATTATGTAAAGCGACTATCAAGGCACTTTAAATTAGGATTCACATTCTTGAACAAATGAGAACATTCAAATTATTGCATTATATATAACGATGTAATAGCCACATTTAAATATTTCCGACTGAATTATTCCTTTCTAAAAATTATTACATTGATAAGAAAAGTAATACAAGAGACATTCCAATTACTCCACTGGTCATAGACAGAGTATTTAAAAATAATTAAATGAAACTTACTGTGTATTCTGTTTCCACAGGTTCATTTGAAGAAGAGGGGAAAGAAAAGAGACAAAAGATGATTTAGACCATGCTTATATGCAATATAAAACCACAGAACTAACAAATACTGATGAACTATAATTACGAAAAATGTACTAATGAAACTTCCATAAATACTGAATGTCTCCATGTTTGCACTGAAATTCTTTCATGATACTTCTGTGGCTGGGCAGATAAGAACAGTCAGACAAGATTCAATTACCCTATAGGTTTGTGGCTAATTAAAAACCAAAGAGTTGGCATTATAAAAGCAAACGAAAGACTAATAATTCCAGTAGAGCATTTCATTAACCATAAAGGAAATCTTTTAAGTGGAAAAGCAGCTTTTGTAACCAATAAGAAGAGCTTGTTACGATGACGTTGAGGTGGGATTTCAAATGTTAGTGTGTTTGAGGGCAGAAACCAAATCTTCTGAGTTTTTTTGGCCACAGTTTCTAGGACAGTATTCAGTACAAAGAGTTTATTATCATTGCATTGCAAGTGAGAGGCAAATTGACCTTAAGATTTTCATATTATCTAATAGCAAAGGAAGTCATCTGGAGGCAGAGAGAGAATCTTTTATACAAATTATGGTCAAAATTTGGAGTAGTAAAAACAAACAAGTTAAAATAAGCAACTTGTTTACAGACAAATCATACCTCTAAAGTACTTGGGAATTATTGAGGAAACAGGGAAATAAGAATCATAAAACCTCTGGAAACGTCTCTATAAAGATCTTCACCTTCCTTCTCCATAAGTTTTTTTTTGTTTGTTTGTTTGAGATGGAGTCTCGCTGTGTCACCCAGGCTGGCGTGCAGTGGCACAATCTTGGCTCACTGCAACCTCCGCCTCCTGGTTTTGTATTTTTAGTACAGACGGGGTTTCACTATCTTGGCCAGGCTGGTCTCGAACTCCTGACCTGAAGTAATCCACTGGCCTCGGCCTCCCAAAGTGCTGGGATTACAGGAGTCAGCCACTGCTCCTGGCCCTCCATAAGCTATTCATTGTAACTCTAAGAAGGAAGATGGAATGGGCTTAGCTTAGTCCCCCTGACACCTGCCATCTCTGTGTCTGTGTTAGAAGTGCTGATGACCTGCAAGTAAGAAACCAAAAAAGGAGAGGGATACTACGGGGCTCCCACAAGGCCCTGCTTGGATCATCAACTGTAAATCAGTGAAATTCAACGACGCTGTGTCCTTGCATTCACTACATGTGGCATACGGTTGTACTAAAGACTTACCTGTAATTGTGTAGGGATAATAGTTCCAAGCCTTCTCTGTCACATAAAATATTTTGGGGACAACAGCTCTAGCCCAACTAGGCAGTTTGCTAAGAGGAAAGAAAGAAAAAGGACAATTAGAATCTGTTCAGAGTCTCACCACACTATCACATTTTTCTGGATAAAATGCTAGAGAAATCAGGGGGATGCTGGGGCATCTCTTTTCTCCACAGCTGCCCTTTCCCCATCTCTTTGGTGTCTGTCATAGTTAATTGCTTCCCGTGCATATTCAAGTGCTCTCAAAACGTGTAAAGACAGAAGGCTACAGCCTGGCGGGGGGACTCCATCAGACTGTCAGCCTGTCCCCTTTGGATTTGCAAAGACATGAGAATTCAGGGCCTGAAGGGTTCCATGTCTGGAGGGTTGGCCAGCCTGACCTTTGTCTCCTAGGAGTGGTATCCTGGAATGTTTATGCCCAAACACTGGCAGGGAGAGGAAGCTAATCTTAGAGATAGACGTCAGCCTAAGCAACCCATACAAGTGACCTTTTGAAAATGGACAAAAGCAACAGAGAGCAGCAACTTGGAGATAGGAAGAGGAACAAAATCTGGTTGTAGTGGGTTGAATTGTGTCTGCCCCAAAAGATACATCCACATCTTCACCTCCAGTAACTGTGAATATGACCTGATTTGAAAAAAGGCTCTTTGCAGATGTAATTAAGTTAAAGATCACAAGATGAAATCATTCTGGATTTAGGGTAAGCCCTAACTCCAATGACTGGTATCCTTATAAGAGAAAGGAGAAAGAGATTTGAGACTCAGAGACACACCGAGGGGACGGCCACACGAGGACAGAGGCAGACATGGGAGTGGGGTTGCTCTAAGTCAAAGAACCCAAGAAGCTGGGACAGAGGCACGGGACAGATTCTCTCTCAGTTTCCCCAGAAAGAAACACCACTGCCGACACCTTGATTGCGGGTTTCCGGCCCCCAGAACTGCTAGCGGATAAATTTGTGTTGTTTTAATCCACCTAGTTTGCGGCAATTTGTTTTGGAAACTTATTACAAAGCCAATAAAATGACACAGCCATTCCTCTGGAGCAGTCATTTGCAGAAAACAAATTCTCAAAAGGCACAGGTCCCAAGGTCTTTTGCAAACCAAAAACCAATGAAGTTTTGTTTTCCTTCAGAGGCAAACCTTAGAGAACAGTGCAGCCCCAGCTAATTCCTTAAATATTATATTGAAATATATACTATTTCTATTCCTTAAGACATATCTGCATGATTTCATTTTTATCCCAGCCCAATAATCAAGGGTTTCTGTCCTTCCAGAGGTTACCATTTGCTTCTTTCCTACTCTGGGGCCTATAGCTAAGCGTCTGGGCCGCTCATGTCTAGCAGTCGATCAGATCCAGGGAGACTCCGTAGACTTTCAGCTTCTTAGGGCTACATGTTGGCCATAAGAAACATCAAGAAGCGGTTCTGAATTCCAAGATGATAGAACCAGGAGGCTGGAAGGCACGTGGAGCTAATAGAATCCCAAGTCTCAAACCCCTCTTGGATGCGAAATCTAAATGACAATCAGAGCCTGTAAAATACTGCGTACCTTGCCTGTCTTTTCCAGTTGTTTCTCTTATTTCTGACAGTAACCAGGCCTGGCTTTTGAAAAGACAAAGATGGATTCTCAGTGGCTGGCCGGACCTAACTCATAGCTCCCGGCTGTTACTCAGGGTTAAAACAAATGGGAAAGCAAAGCTCCCCGGAAGTTGAGTGAGTGTCAGACGAAGGCCCCTGCTCTTAGGTGGGCTGTGAGGAGTCAGCGGAAGCAGTTTGATCATTCATATAACAATCCTTGCTGCTCTGATGCAGAATTTTTCACTCCTATAAAATCCTCTCTGCAGTAACTGCTCATTTCCCTTACGTTCACACTGCTCAAAAGGATGGGGTTTTTATAGCTTTCGCTGATGATGTATTCCATCCATCACCAAAGTTGGAGTGCAACTCAGGTGACGCCGACAGTGGGAAAATTGCACTGGCTCGCTTGCAGGAAATGGTCATGAGCAAAACTTCCTCTGGTTCCTTCCTGTTTGCCCCCGTACCCTAGCGCAATATGCCAATGGTAGTGTGGGAAGATGTGGATTCCAGTTGCAGACGGGTGATTTTCTTGTGCTTTTAATGGACTGACACAGGGATGGAGAATCTCCCTCAAGTAAGCCAGGCATTATTTAGCTTAGACAAAACGCATATGTCTCTCTACAGTATTAAAGCCCATTCTCCACTGTCCTCTTGCAGGCAGGGGTTCCATCTACACTGCACCCCTCCTCAAATTCACTCCAATCCTCATGCATAGTAGTACTCTGGGGCCCAAGTACCTCCTCACCCCATAATTCATTCCTTACAGCATTTTAAAAGCCTCCCAGCAGAACCAGACTCCTGAGCCACAATCATTTTCTAGAAGAGAGGTGAAAATTATTGGCCATTTTCCATCCACGTCGAGACTTTTCCTATTTGTAAATGGTCCTTCAGGACCCCAGATTCTAGAATCTATTTTAGGTGTTTCAGTCACCAACTTATATAGGATATGCAGCATGACAATCAATGATCTTTTCCATTGAGATGACCTAAAAAACCACGATCATTTAGTCAAGATGGTTGATATTTTATGGAACTCTTCTTCCTTTTTTGGGAGACGTCTTGCTCTGTCCCCCAGGCTGGAGTGTAGTGACGCAATCTTGGCTCACAGCAACCTCCGTCTCCTGGGTTGAAGCTATTCTCCTGCCTCAGCCTCCCGAGTAGCTGGGATTACAGGCATGCACTACCATGCTCAGCTAATTTTTGTATTTTTAATAGAGACAGGGTTTCACCATGTTGACCAGGCTGGTCTTGAACTCCTGACCTCAGGTGATCTGCCCGCCTCAGCCTCCTTAAGTGCTGAGATTACTGGCACGAGCCACAGCGCACGGCCTGGACTCTTCTAATTAGTCTAGAAAGCAGGTTCCTTCTGGTATTTTCCAGGCCAGGTACGAGAGGCATTTGCAACAACTTCCATGATGCACTATTTAAATATTTTTAAGCCCACTAACAGATCTTCTCTCAGCCCCCAATTTCCTCGGAGCACATCATTATTCGAATCATTTGTCTGAAAGCAAAATTTATTTTTCCCTGCAGCAATGATTTATCAGGGCCTGTAAAGGAAAATGGAATTAAATTAGTCCCCACTGTTACTGTCACTTTCATGATGTATACTGTCACACAGCCTACAATTCCAAGAAAAAGTCTGTCAGTCAAGCTCACTCTCAAGTGTCAAACAAGAGCCTCTCTGTTAGAAAGGGAGCAAGTTTGAATCAAGTCTCCTTGGTCTATGGGCTAGGGTCAAACCTCCAGTGGCCCATCTCACCAGGGCTCAGGCTTTAGAGACATTGAGGAAAAAGAGGGGCAAAATGATACCATAACCAGCGTCGTATTCCCCCAGATGCTTTGTCAACGCCTCCCAAAGACAGACTTTTCAAAAGCTTTGGTTTCTTACTTACTTTATTTATTTATTTGAGACAGAGGCTTGCTCTGTCGCCCAGGCTGGAGGGCAGTGGCATAATCTTGGCTCACTGCAACCTCCAGTTCCCAGGTCCAAGCGATTCTCCCGCCTCAGCCTACCATATAGCTGGGATTACAGGTGTGTGCCACCACGCCAGGCTTATTTTTGTATTTTTAGTAGAGACGAAGTTTCACCATGTTGGCCAGGCTGATCTCAAACTTCTGACCTCAAGTGATCCACCCACCTTGGCCTCCCAAAGTGCTGGGATTACAGGCGTGAGCTACCATGCCAGCCTGGATTCTTAACTTTTAAACGTTGGTATGAAATAGAAACTATCAATGACACAGCCAAATGGACAACTCATCTGGTTTGCCTGAGACTTCCCTGGTTTTAACACTGAAAGTCCCATCCACCAGAAAATCCCTCAGTTCCAGGCAAACTGGGATGGATGGTCACCCTAGAACAGGGGTTCTCGCTAGAGGGAGATTTTGCCACCCTTCTCCCATCCCCAGGAGACATCTGGCAATGTCCGGAAATTTTCGGTTGTCTCAACAGAGGTGGGGTGGGGTGGGCGGTGCTACTGGCATCTGCTAAGCAGAGGCCCAGGATGCGGCTCAACCTCCTATGATGCAGAGGACAGGCCCCAACCCCCCACAACAGCAAATAAAGATCCAGCCCAAAGCATCAGCAGCAACAAGGTTTAGAACCCTGGCAGATGTCTCTCATGTCATAAATTCCCTAAGGTTCCCAAAATCACAGCTGACTTGATAAGAAGGTCCTGGGGCAGGCGTAATCTGAACTGGTCTTGGGTTAAGGGTGTTTACCTACTTCATAAAGAGCTTCTGGAGCAGAAACCTAAATCATCCCTCCATTAGAAGCTTCTGGTACTTTACAATCCCCATGATCACAAAATTCCCCCGGTACCTAATGTCACATTGCAATGTATGCTCACTCGGGCTTTGTTCCGGGAGGTTTTGAGCACCATTAGGCCAAACGTATTTATATGGAGTCTAATTTCATTTTCTCAACAGGGGTCAGCATTACGGCGGTCTTAACTAGAAATTTTGTTTTGTTCTTTTCTTTTTTCTCTTTTGAGACAGGGTCTCGCTCTGTTGCCCAGGCTGGAGTGCAGTGGCATGATCGTGCCCCTCTGCAGCCTCAACTTCCTGGGCTTAAGTGATCCTCCTCCCTTGGCCTCCCTGGTAGTTGGGACTAAAGGCATGCACCATCACACCCAGCTAATTTTTAAATTTTCTTGCAGAGATAGGGTCTTACTATGTTGCCCAGGCTGGTCTCAAACTCCTGGGCTCAAGCAATCCTCCCATCTCAGCCTCCTGAAATGCTGGGATTACAGGCATGAGCCAGTGCACCTGGCCTTTACCAGAACTTAAACATTCCCAGCAGAAAAGACAGTCCTGGAATTTTCTTCTAGACAGCGTGCCTAAAATCTGCCACATTCTGCAACGAGATTATGCTCAAATAACTGCAGCTCGTTTTAAATAGAACTCTGCTACCTTCATATCCTCATTTCTCACAAGATAGTCCAGGAGGAATATACTGACCTTTTGTTTCCTCATTGC